GAGCCACTACAGAAGCCAACACTCGCTCAGTACTACACACCATCCAAGGGGCAAATGGACCGTGAACTGACCTTCATAAGCTGGGTATAGCGACTGCTTTGGTTGTGAAACAATTAGACTAATACACATATAAGTATGCTAAACATGTATCGATGCGAATACATACTTATGGGGAAGACCGAGACATGTGGTAGGGAATCACGGTACTCATGGGTACTGTTGTTTCCACATGGGAAGTCCTAATTACTCGTGTTCTGTGTGTGGCATAGAGGTCACTACTGTCTATGTAAAGCTCGCGAGTGACGTAGTCAGACATCACCTCATCTACGAGAATAAAAGGCCTACATAAAAGAGCGTGGCGATTTCTCAAGATAGCAGTGTAAGGCTGGAGGAGTTACCTCCCTTTGACTATGCCCCAATTAGAGATTATTACACACTTACACATATAGATATGTTTGTGGAACTTGATCCCAGTGAAGACATCGAATCTCGGGTAAAAACATACTCAAAGATAAACTAAACTTACGGAGGCGCTTCAGATTTCAGGTAATATTGAAAGTGGTATGGATTAAAGAGGGTGTTAAGTATACTCGTCCCTTCGTATGTGGGAGGACCATCACGACTCAACACCAGATAGATTGTTTTACAAGTATATCGAATACATGATCAATTTCAAGGAACACTTTATCCAACAATGCGAGTACTGGATCGAAACAGCCAATCTAAAAATAGTTGATTGGGGCGACGGAGAGGATATATAGGCGCCTTATCATTTTCTGGGTGGCCCAATTAGACATTAGTTATTATGTGTGTACACAGTTATGACTACTATACAGTTAAATGCGCACTGAAGCTGTAGGTAAGTAAGTATTTAAGAGGCTGGCACATGCATGTTAATAGGAACATAGATGTTGCAGATATTAAGCCACTGATAGATGATAAAATAAAACAGGAACTAGCCAGTCTGGGAAGTATCAAATTTCAAATCACAGTTAAAATGACACTTTCGAGAAGAATGTGGGGATGTTACCGAGAATGCGTTCAGCCTTACTTCCGAGGTATACAAGAAGGTCGTGACCCAGATAGAGACTATAAACGCATCGATCGATACCAGTTTTCAGCAGATACAGGAATACCTAGAGCGCTACACACACTTGGGATCGGGTGGGCTGTAGATAAAATCGATATTGTCTATCTAGACATAGCTAACTACGATGCCGTTCAGAGGCGGGTCATACCTAGACTTGCCTCCATACTATAAGAAAAACATGCCATAGTCAACGTTAAGAATAGAGGAAAGCGATTGCTTGAGATTAGCTATCAGATCAGCCTTGTTTCCAGCTGACACTAATTCGAACAGGCCTTCTAGTTATCCCCAAGGCGATGGACTCAACTGGGATGGTATAGATGAACCAACCACCATATCTCAGATCACTAAAGTAGAAAAACAGAATAATCTAGCTATAAATGTCTTTGGACACGAAGACAATACAACAATAATACACAGGCTCAGCCCAGCGTTGGGGAAACCCCAACTGTTGGGGAAAGCGTGTTATCAATATATTCATGATCCAACGAGGTGAAAAGTATCACTACGTGGATAAAACATTTCAGTCGGTTGTTGCAACGATCAGTCGAAACACGATGGAAAAAACACTTTTGTGCTGCGATGCCTACGGCTTCATACGAGCTGATTTATTAGAATCCCACCAGGAGTATTGCCAAGGTGTGGGACAGACTGGCTATCTGGCGTCGACATGCCGAGGAAGGTGACAATATCCTAAAATTCTACAACCACAAGCACCAAATATATGCGTGCCTTATATTATATCTATCGCCGACTTTGAAGCATTGGTCAAACCAATTACCGGCGGGGGTACTCCCAATGCTCTACCCACAGGCGGGGTTGTTGGGGGTACCCCAACCACACTCAAAACACAAGAGCATGAAGCATGTGGATTTGGATACATAAGTAGATCGTTGTGGACGGTGAAAGCGAAATCTCCGTGAGTATACAGGGGTCTGGCCGCGGTTGAAAGGTTTCTAAAGTGTTTGCAGGAGGAAGAAGAAATTATTAGGAGCGTTGTATAGAATCGCCCCATGTGTATGACCCAAGCCGACAGGTTAGCTCACTCCCGTAGCATTAACTGTCACGTGTGTGACTCACCACTGAATGGTGATTCGTGAGAGATCACTGTCACATAACCGGTAAGTATAGAGGCCGCACTAGCGTGTAATCTTAAACTTAGAATCAACCATAAGACAATAAGCATCCCGTTGTCTTTCACAACTTGAGAAGTGCGACTCACACTTGATCATGCAGGCCATCGCGAAAATCGATGGTAATATAGCGTGCATTCCCAACAACATGGAGAAATATCTCTCTTTCAGCTTAGGCGGACTTAGGTTCATTGACTCGTGTCAATTTCTATTGTCGTCACTAGCCAGCCTGATTAAAGCCAGCGATACCTTCCCTATTACCCGATCGATACACAGGCGCCGAGACTAGATCCTGCTTATGAGGAAGGGTGTGTATCCCTATGAGTACATGGATAGTTGGACTAAGTTAGCGAGACCAGACTACCCCATCAGAGAATTTTACAGCAATCTGACCGACTTCGGAAATATCTGAAGAGCGATTACACAAATGCGCTATTAATGTATGGAATAAACTTGGTTGTAAAAACCTGGGTGACTATCACGATCTGTACTTGAAGATGGATGTACTACTATTAGCCGGCGTATTTGAGACATTTAGGAGGACATGTATCAAGCAGTATAAACTAGATCCAGCATGGTATTACACCAGCCCAGGTCTGTCGTGGGATGCCTTGCTTAAAAAGACGGAGTTAAGTTGGAATTGCTTACTGATTATGACATGCACCTGTTCATTGAGAAAGGTTTACGAGGTGGGATCTCCATGGCAACCAAGCGATACGCTAAAGCAAATAATCAATGCGTGAATGGCTACGACCCTAGCAAACCAACCAATCACATTCTCTACCTCGGCGCCAACAACCTGTGCGGCTGGGCTATGAGCCAGTATCTACCCACAGGGGATTGAATGGGTATCATCCGATTTTGATATTATGCATCATCCCGGATTGAACAAAGGTTATATCCTCGAAGTTGACTTGGAGTATCCCAAGGCATTACACACATCACACAACAGCTACCCCTGGCTCCCGAGCATTATGAGGGTTAACCCAGACTGGATGTCTGAATACCAACATAACTTGTTAGATAGGCGGGTGGTGGTTGAAAAACTTCGTGCCTAACTTAATGAATAAGACCAAATACATCGTACACTATTCATCGCAACCTGCAGCTGTACCTGTCGTTGGGTATGAAACTGACCAAAATACACACAGAGTGCTGAAGTTTGACCAAAGTCCTTGGATGGAGCCTTACATCAGAATGAACCACGGACCTGCTAAAGCTGGCCACCAGTGACTTTGAAAAGAACTTGTATAAGCTCATGAACAATTCGGGTATTCGGTAAGGCGATGGAAAACCTGAGAAAAGCGGGTGGGCGTAAAGCTGGTTCGGTCGAATGAGGAGGAAAAACTCAGGAAGCTGATCGCTAACCCTGCATTCAACCGTAGTAAGATATTCGATAGCGACCTGGCTGCCATACACATGAAGAAAAGTCACATAATATTCAACCGGCCTGTTTCGCGTTGGGATAAGCATCCTTGATTTATCCAAACACCTGATGTATGACTTTTATTACAACGAGCTGAAGAAACAGTCACGATGACAGGTGTGAAGTGCTATACACTGACACAGATTCCTTGTTGCTAAATATACACACCGAGGGCGTTAATGCGATGACATGGCAAAACACCTCAATTTTGTGCGACACCAGCGATTACCCTAAGGATCATGCCATACACGCACGGTAAATAAAAAAGTCCTCGGCAAGATGAAGGGGCGAGTGTGCTGGTACGCCCATCGGCGAATACATCGGTTTAAGACCTAAGATGTACTCTATCTTGAAGGCCGACAATAGTGAGATCCGGAAGGCTAAAGTCGTCAAAAAATACGTTGTTAAACAACACATCACACACACCAGATTTAAGGAAGCCCTGTTCAAAACCCGTACCTTTAAACATAAAATGAACACACTTAGAAGTGATGGGCATAGGATATCTGGGCTGACTATAAATAAAACATCATTATCCCTATGGATACCAAAGCGTTGGATAGCTATTGATGGGATAAACGCGTATCGCGTATGGACATGAGAAAATTGAACCAAGAACATAGGTATAAATAAATACCCTGTCGGGCGACATGTCGCGGAACCAGAAAAGTTTGAAGATATTTACTATAGCCCGTGGATATTGGAAAGGAGCTGGCGCTGTAGATAAGCTAGCTAAAATAACTTCGAAAGTATCCCGGAGGAGGTCAAAACATGGCTTGAAAACAAGCACTTTGGCAGATATATTTACCACCACCACGCTATGTGCCTAGAAGGAAGTTTGGTATTAATATACCTAATAACGCGTTCACCAAGCCGACCTGCTGTTCCTACCTCACGACAGGGTGAGGCGTAAAACCTACAAGTATGCTCTGACTATCGTGGATGTAGCCAGCCGGTATAAGGAAGCTGAACCATTGACCACGAAAGATTCTGCCCAGGTAGCTCAAGCTATTGGCGTATATACAAACGCCAGTCCACTAGCGTGGCCAACAGAGCTCAAGTTGACCCGGACGTGAGTTTATGGGAGTTATTATTGCCAGTTGCTGACTAAGCACAAAGTCACGAGTGAGGCGTGTAGGCGGTTGGAGCCCATCATAGCCAAGCCATAGTAGAGAGATTTAATAGGACTTTGGCGGCGTTTATTTGGGTATCAGTACGCTAGAGATGACCAACCCAGGAAAGCGATCGGCGGAATGGGTTGAGCGGCTCCCTAAGGTGGTGTCTGTCATAAATCATGAAATCCGCGACTCACTGGTAAGAAGCGGCAGGCGCTATCAAATTGAAATCAATAATATCAGAGTCGGCCGCGCCCTGCGTGGGAAGGAGAAACAGATACCAGACAGGGCCCTAGTTAGGTATCTCTACCAACCTGGAGAACATGAAGGGGGGCTTCGGAAGCGAGCTACTGATCCTATATGGTCAGTCAAAACTTACAACATAGATAAAGTTGACATCAAAGCCGACGAACCTACCTTGTACTACTTGATGGATGGGCCAGGGAGGGGGTTTGTAAGAGAAGAATTATTAATCGTACCGTATGACACAATGCTACCTCCCGTCAACACGACATAGAGGATATTTGATCAAATAAACGTTTTCATAGCTTGATCCAATTAAAGCATTATTTAGGAAATAAGGCTTTCTGTACAGGTAATTACAGTAAAAATAAGGTATCCGACTAAAGCTTTATCTATGTAATAAAGCTTTAGCTACCTTGATCCAGGACTGTCATTCTGTCTACTACTTCCGTCACTCATTGACAGAACATATTAAAGCCATGTGTAGATATGAAACATGACTACAGGTAGATTGAACTAATACAATGTGTAAGTTACAGACATGCCTATACCACTGCCCACTGTAAGACTGTAGTCCCTGAAGTCCTGGTATAGATGTAGCTATGATACATGGCCAGCTTGAATTTATTCATCCAACTCACAGACACTCAGAATGCCACTCACTTGCCTGTAGCATTGTTCAGTGTCCTCAAGGGCTGTTACTGTAGGTTCAAGTAATCTTTGAGGCTGGACCAGATAGAATAATGTATCTCATAAACTCACTTTATATCAAGTGTGTATGCCATTGACGTGCCAACTCTGTTATCCCCTGTTAGATTTCAGTCACCAAAATCCTGCTGTCAGAGGTTAGTAAGGAATATATCTAGACAATTACATCATGTACTTTTTATATCCAACTCTCACCTTCAGTCACTATGCTGACAGTGTATGTCACTGACCCGCCCACACCATTGTCCACTGTCAGATTATAGTCCCCAAAGTCCTGTTGCTGGAGGTTAGTAAGGTGTAGTCTGGCAGTGACTGAGATGTCTGAGACAGGGCTGGAGGAACCAGTGAGGTCCTGGCTGGTGCTGATGGATCTCCTCCAGGTGAATGTAGGAAGGGGGTAGGCCAGGACTGACACGGACACAGTCACGTCACCACCCAGTGTAGCGGCGAACTTGAGTTGCTGAGACACTGAGTCATCAAGTCGAGGAGAACCTGTTCGAATTCACTTATATTGTATATGTACATCTTACAAGTAGAATTTATCCAAATTCTCCAACAACACATACCTAGAGCATAATACCATGACATGGATGCATATCTATCACATAGATGTGACTACATGCAAAATCCAATGTAACCTGATCCACATTTTTCCCTGCATGTCCCAATTTTTTCCCACAAGAAAACAATCAAACAGTTAATTCAAAGACTACTAGCTTTCTTATTATTTTCAAAAGATGTTCCTCATCAATGTGAGCTATGATAACATCCAAAGGTCATAGGTAAGGCAGGGAATACTTCCCTTCTTTTCCCAAATAGATGCCTGATATATGATGGAGGTGGGATGGATTAATCGTGATGAACCAGGTAGTATTCTTTGAATTATTCACACTGATAGCTATTGTTTGATAATTCGTTTGAATTTTATTACCTCTGTTTCATCACAGCCAGAATGGCTATTGCTAAAAGCGGCGTAAAGCCAAACTCACTCACAGCCAGAATACACAAGAGGGAAGGTAGGATCTGGCATATGATAACACCAGATAGCTGACAGTAGTAAACAAAGAAGAATTACCAAAGAATTAGTACAGTACCTGTCTTTCTTGAAAAGAAATTTAAATTGGTTTACTTCTAACACAGTTTCTTGTTATTGTGGAATCATATGTGGTTCAAGTGATCTTACTTCTCTGAAAGCTCCATCTCTGGTGTTGTGTGTTTAGACCACAGCCTTAGTTTATCTTTGTTTCCGTAATCTTGCAAGATAAACAAGAAGCATTTTCTATGCCTTCTATGCCAAAGATTTTCAAAGCTCTTGGACTTATCACAACTATGATAAGAGTCAGTTTGGAGTATTCTGTGCCCACAGGGTTAAGATTCTGCTTATTGATTCATGGCTACAATAGTACTCCAAATCTGACTATGATTGAGAAGAACTGGCATGTAAGTCTGATACACAATGTACTTTTGCTGCCATGGCCTTGCACGGTTGTCATCTTGGACAGATGATTAAAACTGAATGAGAACCTATAGATATACCATCAGGAGGAAGAATAGAAGCTATCTGGAAAAAACAAAAGCCTAAATGACACTATTATTATAAGTGTAATTGGAGGGAATCATTAGACTGCATCAAGCAAATTGAGAGTTTTTTTCCAAGCCCTAGCCATCAGAGAGAAGAACAATCGTTATCATTACCTTCTTGATGACTCTGTTTAAGAGAGGGCAGAGTGAATGCATAAGAATTAAACTCTTCCAACTCATGGATTGTATGTCAACTTGAAGATGAGGGTCTGGTAAACTAAATTTAGAGTCTGGAGCTGAGGAATGTGGTAAGAAGATCCTGATGAGGTCCTGAAAACTTTCAGTTGCAGAGACCTGTCAGTCAGCATCAATTTATTCTTCTGTAAAGGACAGTGTGGCAGGATGTTTAATTTCCATGGGATAATACAGACTTTTCATTCAGTCGGCTAATTTGAATTATTAATGTGAAACGTCTTTCATTAAATGCACATACATGTATTTCATTGCTCCCTGTCTGACTGACAGCTGTAGTCTAAGGCTAGGTGTGTTGTGTGTTTAGACCACAGCCTTAGTTAGGCGAGGAAATAGCCTTCATTGCCTGACAATCCATGTGCAGAATCTTATCCTCCTGACTGACCAATCTTCCCGGATTCTCTCTCCCACTTGGAATAGGTCAACCTCTACCTTTGAAATCATCCTTGAGGTTGTTACGCTAATGTGTTTATCAAACTTTCTAATACTGACCCCCCAAAAAATCTCCTCTTGCAAAGAACACATTTTTCCTCTTTTTATAGGCTCTAGCAGCTAGAAACATTGTGGATGACTGGAATTTCTGATTTCAGTCTTGACTAACCTCATCAATAAGTGAATCCAGTTATTGTTGAAGAACCTCCTTATAAGCATGTTGCTCAGATAAGATTGATGTCCTCAAAGAATCAGACTTTCTTTGATTTTGGTACTTCTTGATTCTTGGATCATGTTATTGTAGATGGGTCGTTCTCTTGGACACATGATAAATCTCCATATCAAACGCGCGAACACATGGTAACAAGTTTATCTCGACGAGCACCCTTACTAAATGCTTTAATCTGGACTGAAACAATGAGACAATCAAATGGCGGCCGATTATATTTGTATAACTTTTTTATTTGTGAACATACAATGTTTTTGTTCATACCATTGCATTCAGCACAAACAGTTTGGTCTAGTACCGTGCAACGGTTCTAGACTGAAATAAAGTATTTATGAAAATCAAGCAAAACGGTAGTGAATCTGCGATTTCTTATACAAATTTGAAAGATCACGTCACCTCGTGCAGATATTCCACCTTAGGAACTGTGCAATCAAACGTTCGAAATCCACACTGTGATTCATTGTCAAACTTTTTATCTTTCATGAACTCTTTAATATAACACATATCTAACAACATAAGCAATTGTAACTCTGTTAACATGAAACTTTCATCAATTCAGGTATCGAGGTTAGGTCAGCATAACCTGTATTGGAATGCACTAGCCTCGTACACTAAGCGAGTGGTTACTGTAGACGTGTCGATGTTCTGCAACAGGTGAAATGTCAATACCTGGACACTTGTTGTAGTGAATGCAGAGATTGTTTATGGTACACTGGTACAGAAGTTGCATTTGTGGCCTGGGATATACAGCATTTCTGTCACTGACCCCTCTCAGGTGGAAGTCAACACATCAGTCATAATCATCGCTAGGAAGTGTCCTGGCGGTCTGCAGAACCGGGCAAGAAGATGATTTGAGACACTAGCTGGCATCAAGGCAGGGGCGAATAGAAGATGGGGGAAGAGAAGGTGAATTTGTGCCAGTTTATTCTGGATGGCTGTCCCCATAATACGTTCTTTCTCAGAAACGCCAACTCGCTCATAAACAGAGAAAGAAGATACATTGTTGTGGTGAGTGACGGCCATAGTCTGAGCTGCACTAAAGTGACACCTTGACAATAGTGTGGACCCAGTGTCACGGATAGAGTGACTTTTGTACACTGTATATAGATTGCAACTCTTGCTTAGTGATGGCATGAATTTCTTGAGAGTATTGACTCCAAAAGGAAACGTTACAATACCAAATTGCGTCATCATCGAGTGTTTGTTTACAAACAGTGCAAACAAGAGAGATAACTCTTGACAGTATGTTGTTACTAGGGATGTGTGTGGTCCAGTTCAACATAAAAAAATATACCTACAGCATGTGACCGGTTTTGACCAATGTCGAGATAAGATGTAATAAAGGTAGTGAAAAGGAATAACATATCAGTATCCTCAACCATTTGGTTCCACAAAAACAGATGACAACAAATCTCAACGTTATTTATTAATAGTCTGTGACTGCATAATGCGATTTAGCATCATTTAGTTAAATCAGTTTATAGTCAGCGCAGAGTAGTAACTACTACCAACCACTTCATAACTTTTGTTTACAAACACTCCCCTCCCACATTATCCTGCCTAGCATGTCATTTGTTCTCCTGAAGTCACAACCTAGTGCAGTCATGGCATCTCATACATTCTAACTTCAACTGTCCAAGGCAACATTAGAGCAAGGAATATCTGCAAATACAATGACTAAGAAAAACACTAAACAGGGTTGGTAATGGGGGCTCCAGTTTATATGTCACAGGGTTTTGAACCGGAAGGGCATGGCTACATTTAAAGGGAACATTTGTTTGAGTTACTTAATTCAGGGTAACGCGCATAATTTTACTATAACCAACCATCTGCCAATTCCCCCACCCCATGCCATGACCTATGCGCAGATTAGGTTGAAATTAACATATTTTCCACAACATTCAGAGACTAGAGAGTACTCAGTCCTTCATTAATTTTCAATGTCAGGTGTGTGAACTTCAGATGTGCAAAAGCATGTGAAAAGAGAGTAAGTTCATTGTGCACAAAGTGCACATGCCACATACAATGTTTATTTAGGGTTATTTTTATAACTTTTCAAATATGTTTCATGTTATGCACAGTTACTTTTTTCTGTTAGTATATATATGTTGTTGCTTTCAGGTAGGTGATTAGGAAGAGTAGATTTGTCAATCTTAAAGATTTATAGATTGAGCATGTCTTGGCACTTGGTGATGATTTTACAAGCTGTCAGTCAAACATGGTGTGTATGTGCTTTGCTGCCAAGTTGTTTGCAAAGTGTTAACATCCTCTGCAGACAATCTCTTCCAGTAAAGATTTCAGAGCTTGGGAAATTAAATGCATGATTGAGATTACAGTCCGTTTGAGTCAGAAATCGACCAACTGAAACTTGGCAAAATTGTCAACAAGGTAGCTAACGTCATTGAACAAGGTTAATGGTCTCGGGATGGCTTACAACAGGCAACTGTGGCACCACTTGTCATCCCTTTCAGTCGTGACTATGACACTACGACAGACGAGGAACCGACAGCTCTCCCGGAATAGATTTTGAGATGTTCTCCGCCATGAGTGGCTGTTCCGTTTCTGCAGTTTCACCCTGCCGCGACAGATAACAACTTTTGCGTTTTCAATGATGATAGTTTCTTAAACAACGTTTTTGGTGGAGTCAGGACAATTTTCAAATATAAGAAAGCTGTTGGGTATTAGTAAATGATAAACATGTGTACTATTTATATTTATGTGGCAATTTTGTAATTCATCAGTCTGTTTCTGACTCAAACAAACTGTAGTGTGTGTGACCAAAGTTCTGTTCCATGGCACCGCTTAACAAGCTTTGAATCAACTATCCTTGTTGATTCAGACTTGATCTTGTCACTATATGGCTGGAATAATGCCGATGTGACGTAAAACTCAACTCAACTTAACTCAACCCTTGTGTAGGAGATCAAGCCATGTCAAGTTTTCGAGGGTGAACCTCACTCATCTTCTTCTATTTCACCCTATACCCCCCTTCTTGCCTGAGCAGGCTGATGATTATATCTAATCTCAAGTATAAATCTTCAGGTCTTTCACATGACACATCGAAATCAATAAAATGAGCTGCTGATGACTGAAATCTGAAATGTCACCTAATAGCTTGCCAAATGTTAAACAAAGATGTCTACTCTTTAATAGCTGTGTTTCTAGAAATGATAATAATTACAAGAAATCTCACTTTGTGATTAGCAGTTAACCTCATCAGCTGTACTACATTTTGTCCATTCATTGCAGAATCATTGCTGTGGGCTATTACTTATCTTACTTTCCCGATGTAAATAACATTGTGTTTCCAATGTATCAAAGAATTTCAGTCCCTGTAATTTAGTCATATTGCTGAAGAACTATGAAAATCACATTTTACAGATGAGTTACTTAACCACCAAACCAGGTTTTAACTTGATGAAATACAATAGCTCGCAGAAGCAAGTTAATCATCTTATGTGTCAGATGTGGGAGTTCATACCTAGATGCCATCATCAGTTAAGTTAGGATGGGATGCTTCATGAGTGTTCCCATACCAAACACTAGAATGCTTTCTACTAACAAGGTGTTGATGGATGAAAAGGTCAAAAACTACATACTTAACACTCATATGATCACATAACAAATACATTGTTATTATCTCCATACGTAGCAGATTGTTATTTTCATATCTGGTTTAACTGAATGACAATGATCTGAAATGGTTACATACACTGATAGTCTTCTCCCACTGAGCCACATGTTTATGTCCATATGTATACAATTAGCCACAATTATCAATACTATGGTATTTCAAAATTATGCAACCCACAGTGCAGAGAGAACTTTAATATACACATGGGATGACAAGTTGAAGTGATGAATTTAAGCAGTCAGGGCAAGTACTGATTGTGCTGTGTCATGGTTGGTGAATTGGACAGTACTTACACTTAACCAGCAACTCCACCCTCTGGGTGACAGGTGCCCCCGATGTTGTTGGTGGCAGTACAGGAGAAGTTCCCTCTTTGTCTACAGTCTGCTGACTCCTGTCTATATGTTGCTGTCAGGGAGTTATCTGCCCTTGTCAACTCCTCAGTTCCATTCAGTAACCTGATGACTGACCATGGATTACTGTCAACCTTGCAGCTCAAGGTAGCTGGGTCAGACATGTTAACTGTCACTGAGCCACTGTGAGAGTTGACGGTAAAACTGCTTATGGTGGCTGGGTCTGAAAATGAAGAGTGGAATAAAATTTAAAGGTAAAGGATAGCAGGTACTGATAATGCCTGAACATGATTATAGTCCTCTTATATTTTCACATGATGTAATAACTGTTTACAATGTTATTCAAAGCTTACTTATCATTGCACTGATCTGCCTTTTGACATCAGAGCTGACTATGGTCTGCCATTGTGTAGGTAATCATGATAAACTTATCCTTATTGCTGACTGCTTATTCATCTACACCTAAATGACTTATGTATACAAATCTATTTAATAATGAGATCAAGAAACCCTTTTTCAAGTTCAGTTACAAGAGAAATTCATGAAGTGCAACAAAAAGTGTTAGCTCATAGCCAAAGCAAGTACTGTCTGAAACTTTTAAGAGAAAGATTTGAAAACTGGACTCTGATTAAGATATATGTTTCTCAGGTATCAGTTTCAGGTATTAGGATACTTGACCTGACCAAGACTTGACCAAGAAGTCTATGGCGTCATTTGGTTCTGATAATTAGAGGATTATTTGTTATTTAATTATCCATGTTATACATGATATGTTTATTCTCAATGCAGATCTTCATAATTTATTATCGATCGTGAATAAACAGTCAACTGTAAAAAGTATTGCCTACTTATTTGATAATATCACTCCCGTTTGTGATGACATTACTTTTAGTTCTTATGACATTGCTTCTGGTGACATGACATCATTTGTGTGACGCTCAAGCATCCAATTTTTTAAAAAACACACACTTGAAATTATTGAATGAGGTATCAGGAACAGATCCCTTGCAAGTCAGTTTGGATGTTAAGTGAAAATTAGGGAAAGTGTTGTGAGACCCCATTTGGCAGTTGGGTCAGCAAATACACGAGTAAACAAATAAGCTGTCAGAAAAAAAGGACCTAAGCCAGTACATGACAGTAGCCTTGGTGATATCCTTATACAAAGTACTTGTACAAGATTCTCCAACTATCTGGGTCAGAGTATAGGGTTGTTGTACCATGTAGTACCTACCAGAACTCTGTCTAAAATATAGTACAAGTCTAAAAATAGCACATGGCAGCTCACCGAGTACCCATCCATACTTGGAAGATCATTGTTACAAGTTGAATAACATTGCCACATAAAACACATAAAAAAGGTATGGAAAGTCAATTTCAGTGTCTCACAGTGTCTGAGGCACTGATGCTGCCACATAAGACTTGAGTGACAATCAATCTGATCCACAGTTTTACTTGGAGCTGGTATGAAGTAATATTTCTCTCCCAGTGGTCCTATAGCCTCTAATTGGGTGAGATCTGACAGAGATGGAGCTTTCAGAGAAGTCCAGCACATGAATCTCCAGACTTTCTACTCTTTCAAAACATGGCTGCAAGAGATAATGCTTCATATGGTTTCCCAAAAAGAGCAGACAGCTGATAAGATTACCCCTAGGGAAGGTTATGTTGAAAGAGAGATCTCATCAATCTATTCACATCTGGGTAATTTGAAAGAGTCAAGTACTGAAGATAAGGCTGATCCATGTAATTCAATGGTGCCATGATCAATTTATTAACTTACCACAGATATGAGTATAGTAACATCGTCATTTTATATTTTTTGTTGCATTCCATGCTGACAAAATTGTCTGCCCTGTTGACATACAGGGCTGATGAGGAAAGTGACTTGGAGAAGGCAGGAGTTTCCAGGCATGAAGTCATGTGCAATACATTCATTTGTTGATTCAGAACTGACATACAATGAAGACTTGTTGTTGAGGCAAGTGACAAATAAATCCACAAAAAAAACACAATTTATCCTGTACCTACCACACTCATGTATTTGGTCTCTGAATGAAGGTTAGAACTCTGGTGATGTCCATATCCATCAGAATTAAAAACTGGGTAAAAATATTCTTTAATGCATGAAGGGCATAGCAGACAGCCAATATATAGGAAGAATGTTATCTTGAACTGCCAAATCTGTTAGGCTTTCTATGTAGGCTGCCTATCCAGAGTTAGGGGTACTTGTATACATGCAGACTTGCACATACACTTACACTGTACATCAACACTGACTGTAACACTGTCACCAGTGCAGACTATATACTGACACTGAACATCAACAGACTATAACACTGTCACCAGTGTACACTATATACTTACACTGAACATCAACACTGACTGTAACACTGTAACCAGTGTAGACTATATACTTACACTGAACATCAACACTGACCGTGACACTGTCATTACTCCCGTGTGTATTATTAGGCTGACATCTGTAGGAGCCTGTGTTGGATCTGTCAGCTTGTCCCTGGAGCATGGCTCCACTGCTGAAGGCTGTTCCATTGTGTAACCACCTGTAGGTACATCCGGGTCTACAGAGGGCGGAGCAATTGATAGATGGAAGAGCCTGGTGTTCTCTCACAGTGTAGGAGGAGTTGAAGGGGTTCAGGGAGATCTGGTAGGGACCGTCTGGAATATATAATGTTACCTTGAACTTATACAGAAATTGAGCAACTGACGTACATTTACACATGACATCAATTATATACAAGTAGAAAAAAGTTCAGCAGCCTTAAATTTGTTTACCGCTATGTTCAAGTTCGGCTTTTGTATGGTGATATATGTGATAACAATGTTCATTGATGAAATTATTCCAAGTGTACTTGGTCAAAAGCGTCCAGAAGCACGAAAAGTGCAGATTGTGCAAGTGCCACATGTCATTATCTAATTTGCAAAGTATTCAATCATTTTTCTGACTTGATGGTATGAAGAAGATTATCAGACAGCCAGAGATTATTGGTATGCATAACTCTGGTATGTTGGTTGTCAGTTGTTTGGTTAGAAAATACAGGGAAACCAATGAGATGACATATTGCCCAATTTCTGGACGAACCTGAATGACATCAGATCATGAAGACAGGGCTCTGTTACCTGAGGGTGTCGGGGTATTCTACCCTTATTCCCTAGGCAATCCGTCTAGCCACTCTGGTTCTGGGGATGATGTAGCTAGATGGATAATCAAAGATAAGTCCAGTATGGTGTTCAAGTCCATTTATTTTGTAATGGATTATTTCACAAAGGTCCTCAAATATTTCCTAGCTTTCCTGGTTTACATGCAACACAGATTCACAAATCTCCTGGAAGAACTTGTCGGTTTCTTTCACAACTCCTAAAGTTACAATTTCATCTGAGCCATTCTCTCAATATACAGAGAGAACCTCTCAAGTCAACGGCAGTGCCCAGAGTTTCTGCTCTCCCTCAGTCAGCTAAGTTTTGGTTCTCTTCACAATTTTTGGCTCCTCCCCCTGAAATGATGTCCTACCTCCTACAGAAATGACTCATATCCAATCTTAATAATTAGTTACTTTCATTAGTCCCTTCCGGAGACTTTATTTGGTACCATCAATTTCTTCCAGTGATAAAATGACATTGCTAATTATCCTTAAGCCATACATCAACCAAACCATGACATATCTAACTAATATCTCAGACTAGTAGATACTTAATCAAATCATTTCAGATCCTATGCATGCCCCTTTATTGACAAACTGACCAAACTGACCATCTGTATCCCAAAAGTCCATCCGCCCAATTTGTGTAGAAACACCAGTTTGAACCTTTCACCCTCATTTATGTCAATTTAGAGAAATTGTTATTCCCCCAAGAAAAGTGAATCAATAACAGTTCGGTTAGCTTGGTCAATGCACTTTCCCAGTATATTCACCCTTCTTAACTTGACTTCAAATTTTCCTTAAATATTTATAAAATATAAAATATCCTGGTTATAGCACAATTGAGGCTCAGTCAACGACAACTATTCACCACAAGCAATGGTTACAGTTTCACTGAGTCACTATGAGACTAAAGAGAGCTGGGTACAACACTAGAAAGGTCATCAAATGTCCTCTAATGAACAATCGTCATCAACAATCTCATTTGGCTTGGTGTTTACTGCAGCAACGCTGATGAAAGCTGGCTGAAAGCTGATTCCTTCTTAATTTATCTGATGAATGCTTGAGAGTTTGGAGCCAGCCCAATACAGCAATTGCAGCAAAAGACAATCCACCCAAAGTTGCCTTTGGTAGATGTTCCATCAAAACATGGGGATGTGTCTCTCATAACTAAAACCTGACTTGGTGACAATACGTGGGAATTTCCAGGTTTGATCAGTATATCCAGGAAGTGCTGGATCCATTTGTTTTCCCTCATCTTGATAATCATCCTCTTGCTACAAGATCTGCATTTAGGGATGACAATTCTAGGCCACATTGCTCTGGTTCAGAGTCAGCTTTCATTCAGAATAATGCAGTGACTCACCTTCCGTGGTCCACCATGAGTGCAGACCTGAAATTTGGGACTTTATCCGGCGACAGGTACAAGTATGTGTACCACCTGTTTTAAATTTGCTTGAGTTTGCACCAAGAATGTGGACAGTTTCCTCTGCAACGAATATGACGGCTGACACGGAGGTATGTGACGGAAGTTACAGGCAGTTATCTGAGCATGTGGAGAGTACACTAGATATTGATTGATACATTCAATGTTGCATGAGCCTCTCTATAGCTCCTTTCTTGTAACAGGTATCATTATTACCTTAAAAAAGATTTTGTATCCATTGTTAAAATGTTGAAGGAAACTGTCCTTTTTTGTGTTTCCTTGTATTCAAGACATGATCTTACATAAAAAAACATGCAGATTTACCAACATACTGTGCACACCACTAATGTTAGCTGAAACATACGACTTCATGAAAATTACTGGGGGTGCTTTACTTTTTTTCAGGTGTATATGTTCTGCAGTGGGTATCTTGTTGTGACATAAATTCAACAATACATTAATTTACATCTACTTAGGAAAACCAGAATATCAAAGTACTGAAACACACCTTTATTCAGTGATATAATGTTTTACAGATTAACACAAAATATATTGGATGTAGTTTAAGGTTTTTATATAAATTTTTTTAGGTTTCTGAACAGATTGCAATATGACAGATATTGTAATGTTGACAGTGTTTAAAACTCCCAAAATTCCAAGCCAGACAGCCGGACTGGTAACTTAAAAAATTACCAGTCCAGATACAAACTTGCCTGTCTGGTTTTCAACAATGAAAACAAAAATCAGTTTTCTGAATACTTTACTGTTTGCAAGCATCGCAACAACACAGCACTAACAGGCAATGCACCGAATTTAGGTAAACTGAAAGTACATGTGTTGTGATTGGTTATTGTAAAATTAACTGTCCAATCGTAAATAGTTTAACATAATTATCATAATACCTTAAACACCTCAAACTGACAAGAGAACCTGTCTGATATTATGAAATATCTACTGTTAGGGGTAAAAACATCTACCAGACCCACCGGACAGGCTCCTTTTGAAATTTGACCGTCAGAGATGAAAATAGACTGTTCAGGACGGTCAGGCAGGCGGGAATTTTTAACGCTGATGTTGACCTGGGTTATGAGGACCCTCAAAACATTTCCTGTTTGGAAAGGTGTTGAATAATACACAAGAATACATCAATACATCACTTCCAGTTCTATTGTAACCTGTTACATCATTTCTGGTTATGACTTCACTTCCATTACTATACTTCCAGGTGTGACGTCACTTCTGATCAATCACCTTCATGTTAACATATGAATGTATCAAGCAAGAAAAGGTGTACTCTGCTGGTCTTCTGTGATTAGAGATAATAGTCTGGGAAACCACGGTCTGCATGGCTAAACTGGAGCTATCAGAATAATCATGCATCATGTTAGTTTTGTCGTCCAGAGCTGAAAGTTGGAATACATAAGTAAACAACCCTGTCCAGCATCCAACTGGTATGCTTTCACATCCGGTTCTGGATTTCCATACATCTTGTTTGGACTGATGTTTTGAGTGTCCCATAATTTGGTCATCCAAAAAAGATGTCACGTCCATTGTGAAGTTACAATACTCTCTTCAACGAAAAGGCTTTCATGTTCAGTTTCCTTGAATATTTCTCACTTCCATCCAGTAGTTGTACCAATCTCCCATGGCAAATAATTGAGATATTTCGGTCATCAGAGTTTGTGACTCGGTTCTGCCTTGTATCTGAATATAAGGCACGATGGTTATGTAGTCTGTCAACATCAGAACTGATAAACTTAGTATCAGATTTTTCCGATTCAACACTACATAATAATTTGCCTTCATTTCTTGATAACTGATTAATCAATTCCTCTAAAATCCATATTTCTTGTATCTGGTGATCATTCATATCAGCTCATTAACCCGAGTAGATACAATTTGTAATCTCATCTCATCTGATAAAGGTTGCTGGCATTGTAAATTGTGAGGCATACCTACTATTGCATCATGGAGCTTATAAATAAGTCCCACTAACAGTCAACTCTCATTGAAATTTGAGTCTCAGGTGGAATATCATGAAATGAAGCATTTGGAGAAGAGAGAGTAACATATTCCATCAAAGAATCAATTTATGTTGGGTATTTGTTTGCTGTTTAAGATCTCTGACCCTAAGGGACCGTTCATAATTTATGGCTGGGGGGTGATGATGATTTTTTTTTTTTTTTTTTTTGGGGGGGAGGGATTTTGTTCTGGGGAGGTAGGGGGGTCATCAATTTGTACATAATAATAATAATGTCATTTTTATGACTCATACTTTATTGCTTGTTCCCTTTCCTTCCAAGGTGTAATGGAAACCTCTGTCCTTTTGTTCCCCAGTGAACAGTTTAAAAATAGCTCATCCCAATCCCAACTGGGCTTCTTCCCTTTCCCCTTGCACCAGCATCCCACATGACTATGGGCTGCCTGTCACTCTCTCTATTAAAGCACTCAAGCTATTTTTGACCGAAGCCAAATAGTGGAGAGCAGACACGGTTGGTAGGGCCCTGAGACTATGAGAATTACATATTTTTCCTTATCCTGACGCATATGTTATTGCTTGAATCCAACGGATAGACAGTGGGTCAGCCACCTATTTGGATTCTGATCACTGTTCGATCCACCCCTTGGGACCTCCAGTCTGAAACTCTTCTGACACTGCGTGTCATAAGATTTTGTGGATTTTAAGATACGCAAGGAATTAGATTCTCTCTTATCTTGGTTCCATCCTTATGTTAAGAATAGGTCGTATTCTTAACTGAATCCTTTTACTCCTGTGCTGCTTTATCTTGTAAAACAGGGAACATGGACACTCTGTCGATGGTTAGGAAACAGTAACCTGACTTCTATGAGTCCACATGATTATAGGTGAGTAACTATCATCTGGCTGGGACTGTCAACTGCTGTGCCACAACTAACAGGCCAACTTGGAGGATACCGGATACATCTTCTGTGGCAATGTCCCTTGGGTAGTGGTTCACAAAGACAGAGTACAATCTCCAGAAGCATCCTCCCATGATGCTATGCAGGGCTTACATGGATGCAACGGCTCTCAATTCATGAGGGTTGGAGGCTCTAGACAGATCCAATCCTGC